GGGGGCCCGCGCCGCGTTGTCGGCGTAGTGGGGGTTTCGAGTCCGTGGGGGCTGAGTGGCCGACACAACAGGGGCAGGTTGAGGGCGGCCCGACAAGGCCTTGTGCAGGGAGGGACGCCGGCGGGAGTTGGACCTTCGTGGGTCAGGCTGAGGGCGGACCGCTTCGGTGAACCCATCGGCGAGCGGGCACGATGCCGCGAGGTCAGGCTCGGGTGTTTGAGGATGGGGGGGAGGACGAGAATCTGAAGGCGCAGAAGAGATGTTGCGTGTACAAGTACATCCCTGTGGGACAGAGTCTCGACGAGAGATTCCGCGGCAATCGCATGTTGAAGTGCGTTTTCTGCGGGCATGAGTTCCAGGGCAACCAGTTCGTGGCGGCGCGCCATTTCCGCCAGGGCAAGGGATGTCCGGAAGTGACCGACGAGGCACTTGTCGACATCCACTACAACAGTGAGTACAAAATGTCCGACAAGTTCCTACAGCGGATCCAGCAGTTTGCGGAGCTTCACGGTCCGACGCCTACGATGGATCCGCGACGGGACGAGGGGGGGGGGGGAGAGATGAGGGACGCGGAGGAGCAGATCGACATGCACGGCGACGTCAAGGAGGTTGCGCGGGCGGGGTCATCAGGGAGGGAGCGAGGGAAGGGCCTTGTCATCGAGCCGGGGGGGCAGCAAGGCCAGTACTTTGCGTCTGCGCACGTGTCGGTTCGTACACGGGCAGGTGCCGATACGGCTGAGGCGGGTCCGTCTGCAGGGAAGAGGAAGGAGAGAGAGGAGGGGGCGCGACCGACGGCAGCACCCAGAACACAGAAGAGGCTGAGGCAGAACACGATCACAGAGTCTTTCTCTGCAAAGTGGCAGATGGAGTTCAAGAAGAAGTGGCTGCAGTTTGTGTACAGTCAGCGCCTGGCGTTCAACGTCTTCCGGAGCGAGCCGTGGTTGGACGTCGTCTGACACTTCAGGGATTTGTCGGGGCCAGTGAAGGTGTTGTGGCCTTCAGAGAACGAGATTGCAGACATAGAGACCATTGTCCACACGGCGGACGATGTGGGAGCTGAACTCGCGGAGGTCAGGGCTCCTTTCTATGTCACGGGGGCCACCATTATGTCAGACGGAAGGAAGTCACGCGATGCTAGACCCATCATTAACTTCCTTGCCGGCGGGTCGCGTGGGGTGATGCTCGTCCGGACGATGAACAGGGAGGGTGAGCGGGATCGGGCGCCTGATGTGTTGGCGCGCTGGATCAAGGTGTTCGATGACTTTCCCCCTAAGTGGGTGAACGCCATCTGCACCGACTCCGCCTCGGCGTACGTCGCCGCGGCGAACATGCTCCAGGGGCCCCAGCAGAGGCCAAAGCATCGACGGATCACGTGGCTCGCACACGCAGTGCATGTCTGCAACAAGATGTTGTCAGACATTGGCTGTTCGGGCCCGTGGTCCAAGGACATCATCGTGAGGGGGAGAGCGGTGGTGCGCTTCATTAAGGAGCACGGCGCCGCTCTCCACATTTTCTGGGGGGAGAGCAGTCAGATGGGCCTCATCTATCCTTGCGAGACACGTTTCGCATCCGTGTTCACGATGGTGGAGCGTTTGCTGGCAGTGAGGTCAGCATTGGAGAGGACGGTGGATGGCGATACTTGGGGTATGGTCCCTTGGGACCATTCCGTTCGTCAGTTGGCTAGGTGGGTCAAGTGGCAGGTGCGGCATGGCAGTTGGTGGGATTCCATGGGCGTCTTGTTCCGCATCATGGAGCCTGTGTACGACCTGCTGCGTAGGTTGGACCGCAGAGGGCTGCACATGTCGCAGGTGGTTGAGTGGACACAGGATCTAGCCCGCCATGTAGCAGAGGAGGTTTGTGCACTTCCGACAGATCTTGCACACTACATTGTGCAGAGGGTGCAAGCTCGATGCGCTCACATGCTGGAACCGGCGCACGCCGCTGCTCACATTCTCTGTCCCAGCCGACGGGACTTGCGGTACTTTGAGGGCATGGTCAGCGACTACGACGCGAGTTTGGTGAGGGAGGCGGAGTCTCCGGCAGAGGTTCACGACACCACGCAGTGGGAGGAGACTTCGGCAGAGGTATCGAGTACGGGAGTAGATGTTCAGCAGGGGACGCATGAGAGCAGGTTGGCACCGACAGAGGAGCCACGTTCGGAGCCGGCGCATCCTCCTGTCGTCCAGTTGAGGCCCAAGGAGACATTGCAGGAGGTCGCGGGCGTGCCTCTGCCCGCGGGTTGAGTTGAGGGTGCCGTGCAGATGTCCCCGGGTCTGGAGGACATACAGAAGGGGCAGTCAGCGGGCGTTGATGATATTCGCCCATCAGCACAGGCGGAGGGGATAGCGCCGACCACCGGGGGGGACGTGGCCGTAGCGGGGGTCGTTGGAGTTGGCGGGTCGGGGGTGCCGTCCATGGCCGATCCGATGTCCACGTCTGGCGGGGGGGACCCCGCACAGGTGGATAGGCATGACGCGGACGGACAGGAGATGCCACGGACTTTGGTGGTTCGCACTGCTGTGGGGTCAGTGGTGCCGCATCAGGCACCGTTTTTGGAGGGTTATAGGCGTCGTGCACATGGCGGGGGCCTGGTCGAGGAGCGACGTGTAGGCAGGGGCGCGTGCATACCCCCGGTCCCTACTTTTATGCCATCACGGACGAGGCCGGAGATTAGGCATGTGGCTACGCCTCGGGGCAGCCTCCTTTTTGGTTTTATGACCGCTGAGGAGTTGGAGGACCACGGCAGGAGGGATTTGACGGAGATCGACCAGCGTGTTTTGAGGTCAGTCCCGGAGGAGGGGAAGTTGCCTCACGTGCAGGACTTATCTTGGGGGCCAGCCAGCCCCAGCTTACCTTCTGGGTGTTCCATCGCAGCGCCATCTGGCGGGGCTGCTGGGGGCTTACCTTCTGGAGGTTCCGTCGCAGCGGCATCTGGCGGGGCCGCAGGGGACTTACCTTCTGGAGGTTCGGTCGCAGCGCCATCTTGAGGCGCCGCAGGCCCTTTGTCACCCTTGACCGCAGCTCCGAGGGAGGGCGGCAGTCTCACCCCGAGGTCGGTTGCCCGTAGACGGAGAGACACTACCAAGCGTGCGCGGGAGTTGCTGGACACCATGTTGTTCGGTCGCACAGATCGACCATAGAGCGAGACGAGACGGGTGATGACGGCGAGTGCCAGCCGTCAGCCAGGTTTGAGAGGGGCTTCCACGGTCGTGAGATGTCGAGATGTTGTAGCTTCAGGGTTTGGTGGTAGGGGCGGTGGCGGCGGTGGCAGCGTTGGCCAGGGCGACGACATACGTGAGGGTGCAGGCGTTGCCGCAGCGAGCGCAGTGGATCCGCCCTTGACGTACGGTTTGGGAGAGGCGTCGATTATGTTGCATGAGCGTGACGTTGTTACACGACCGAGGCAGGAGAGACACGTGCCATTAGATCGACGCCAGGAGGGGGAGACTTCAGGGACAGACGGTCTACCTATGGCACGCGAGTCACGCCGACGTGATGACCTAGCAGCCGCAGGTGTAGGCAGGATGTTGAGAGGCAGGAGACTCATTATGGACGACGACCTCGACGAGTATCCCGTCGCTCCTGAGCCTTCCGCTGGCAGACGCGGCGGCCAGCGTCAGAGAGATCGACTGCGTGGCAGTGGTCGGAGGGGAGGTGGTGGTTCTCATCGGTCCAAGCGAGATCCGCGTGCGCAAGACGATCGTTGACGGATCACGGACTTGCATTTTCGTGACATTCTGAGTGTACTTTAGTTTTTTGTTATCCATGACAGACGTAGTGTCTCGTGAGGTTGTATTACAGTCTACTTTCCAGTGGGTTCTTTTCTGCGCAGACGTAGTGTTTCGTGATGTTGTATTCTAGTCTACTTTCGTAGGAGTACATGGCCATTTCGTTCGAGTTTAGTTTTTTGTTATCCATGATAGACGTAGTGTTTCGTGATGTTGTATTATAGTGTACTTTCCAGTAGGCACTTTTCTGCGCAGTTTGCTACTTCGGAGATTATAGCTTTCCAGTGTATTTTAGTGTACTTTTCGTCRGCATTTTTGGGTTGGTACTTCTTTCCACAGACTGGCGGGGCTTCGACACGATGTGTCAGATTTTTGCTATTATCCATGCTATAGTGGTTTGCGTTTTGCTTCGATCATTACATCTTGTCATTTGCGATGTTTCTGTTTTCAGACGACGAGTGTTTTGTGTGCTTTGAGTCCGCCCTTGGTTTCTCTGAAATCTCACTTCCCCCGAAGTGCTTCCAGGCCCCTCATAACCCAAACCATACTGTAGCCCCCTTTGGCCACCCGCCCCCACCCCTGGCCCCGAACCCCCCAAACCACCTTTTTTTTTTTTTTTGCTTTGCACCCTTTTTCAAAATTTCTCTAACCGCTTGTTTTGCGCTTAAAAAAAAAATAAAGAAAACAAATATTTTGGAAAAAAAATAAAGGAAAGGTCGCAGTTTGTGTGTCTGTGTAAATGGGTGGCGCAGTTTGGGGGGTTGTACATGTTGGCCAAAAAAAAAAAAAGTGCCTGTGTGTGTGCGACGGTGTGAATTTGTGTGTGCATGTGCGTGTGTGAATGTGTGTGTGTCAGTGTGTGTGTGTAAATGGGTGGCGTGGTTTGGGGGGTTGTATTTGTGGGCGGGGATAAAAAAAAAAAACGTCCCCGGGTGGCGCAGAGGCACGGTCGGAGGGGAGGTGGCGGGAGTGGGTGGCCCTCCATTGGGTGGGGGTAGGGGTGTCGGGGCTTGGCAGGTGGTGGTTTTGGGGGTGGGGGCCGTGGGGCGGGGGGGCTATCGGGCGGTCCCCGGGGGGCGGTTTTCGCACTCTGGGGGTCTGTTGAACTCGGACCACCACCCCGTAGCCCCCGTCGTGAGCGCGCGCCCCGGGGGACCACGTTCATTTTTTCGCACGCGCTCGCTCATAGCGCGTTTGAACGTGATTGAACGCGGGGCAGGGGGGTATGAACGCGCGGGTTTGAACGTGAACGCGCGTTCACGGCGTTCATACGGTTACTCAGTCTTCCTCCACCATCTCCTTCTTGCATCCACCATAGCCAACCACCTTCCACCTTCTTCCTCCGCCACCTCCTTCACCCATCCACCATAGCCAACCACCCTCCACCTTCTTCCTCCACCGTCTCCTTCATCCATCCACCATAGCCAACCACCTTCCACCTCCTTCCTCCACCATCTCCTTCACCCATCCGCCATAGCCAACCTCCTTGCACCTTCCTCCTCCACCATCTCCTTCACCCGGCCACCATAGCCAACCATCTTCCACCTTTCTTCCTCCACCTCCTCCTTCACCCGAACACCATAGCCAATCACCTTCCACCTTTCTCCTCCACCATCTCCTTCACCCATTCACCATAGCCAACCACTTTCCACCTCCTTCCTCCTCCATGTCCTTCACCCATCCACCATAGTCAACCACCTTCCACCTTCCTCCTCCACCATCTCCTTTGCCCATCCACCATAGCCAACCATCTTCCACCTTCTTCCACCACCACCTCCTTCACCCATCCACCATAGCCAATCACCTTCCACCTTCTTCCTCCACCACCTCCTTCACCCATCCACCATAGCCAACCACCTTGCACCTCCCTCCTCCACCATCTCCTTCACCCGTCCACCATAGCCAATCACCTTGCCCCTTCTTCCTCCACCACCTCCTTCACCCATCCACCACAGCCAGTCAGCTTCCACCCTCTTTCTCCTCCATCCTCTTCACCCACCCACCATAGCCGACCTCCTTGCACCTTCTTCCTCCACCATCTCCTTCACCCGTCCGCCATAGCCAAACCACTTTGCACCTCCTTCCTCCTCCATTCTCGTCCGCCACCCGAAGTTCGGGAGCAAAAGGGGAGGCACCAAGGAGCGCAAGGAACGATAGGTAGGACGGTAGGGCACGCTAGGGGGTAAGGTTGATTAGGAATTAGGAGTCTCTCTCTCTCTCTCTCTCTCTCTCTCTCTCTCTCTCTCTCTCTCTCTCTCTCTCTCTCTCCCTAGAGCTTTGACCTTCACCTTACCCTCTCCCTTTCTTCCTTCTTGGCACGTGACTAACCCTTCCCCTCTCACTTGTTACAGTGCCAGGGGTCGAACGGTGAGAAGAAGCGGTCTTCACTTTGTGGAGAAAGAGGGCAAGGGAAGGATAGCCGGTCCCTTGCGCCACCAAGAAGGAGAAAAGAAAGTTCTTGAGAATTTGGAAGACAAGGACCTTGAGAAAGACGGAAAGTGAGAGTTTTGCACAAGGTCAGTTGACTCAACCATTCCCCCCAACCGCTTGACTAAGGAGAAGACATGGCTTGATTGTGGAAAGGAAGAGAAAGTTGGAAGACCCCTGGAAGAGAAAATGAACATAGGTTTGTGGGAAAGGGCAATGTGTTGACCCCAATGGGGGATTGTATTGGTCTTTGCCTTTGTGTGGGATTGAGCAGGTGAGTAGCTTAGGACGACTTGAGCGGGATTGGGTCCGGGGTACGCGGGCGAAAGTGAAGGATGAGGATCGGATGGGGAGGTCATAGGCCTAGTATAAACTCTGATGGGGGTGGGCCTCGACGTAGGATGCTTACGAAAAAGGGTAAAGGAAAAAGGGTGTGCCTTTGCATGGTGAATGTGTGTTTCGACTCTTTGCATGCAATATCGAAGCCCGAAGGGACTAAGGGCGGGCAATGGATGTATGGAAGAGATGCATGTGTCAAGCAAAAAAAATATATGGGGGCTAGGGGATGGGCGGCGCTGCCGCACCCTGAAGATGCCGCAGGGATTGTTGTGCTTAGTGAAAAGGTGTGTGGCCCAAGGATGACGCTTGGCCTACGCACAAAAGAAGAAAATCCTCAATAGCCCCCCCCTTGGACTGCTTGTGTATTGGACGGAGCAATTGTCTGACCACATCTAAGTGAATCAAGAAAATGTCGCGAGTGATCATAAAGCTACCATCTAGCACGAGAGCGGAGCTTCATCCCCAATGTAAAGCCCTCTCGCAAACGACCCATCCCCATCCATCTCATAGCACTAGGTGGGGGTGCCCCTGGGACGAACGCTCTCCGCGCCCTGAGCTTGAGCGTGGGCGGAGCAGAGCCAACTGGGACCCGCGAAGGGGTCGACTCAGGCTTGAAAGTCTACCAAGGTACGGCCTTACAACGGACCTACACCGGTCTGAAATGAAAAGGGTGTGCGCGCTTTAGCGCGACACTTGAAACGATTCCCTCGGCCATTGAGACAGGGGCAAATCGGTGCAAATAAATTTCGAACGTATGAGCTCCCGTTGGTATGACGAGCACTATGATGGTTAGGATCGCTAATAATACCCTCTGACTGAAAAGGTCGAGGGGTTGATTAGGTTAGTGTTATGTCGGATACAGCTCCCACACACAAAGAGACTTGGGATGATACCTGTCTATCTACCGGTACTTGGCCTTTAAAAAAATGCTAACTTTTGTCTTCTTCTGCTCGACCTTAAGTACTCGGCACATCTACCGCTTCTTGGTGTGGTACCGGCCCACCTGTTACTTAAGTGTTTCCGCGGCTCTTTAGTGTCGTGGACCTCTTTTCCCACCACTTGAGTGTTTTTCCCGCAGCACGCCTCAATGTCTCGGCGATAAGTAAGTACTGGCCTTTCGGGCCTTCCGATCAACCGAGTGTCCTTGCGGGTCACACATGCACTCAAGTCGACAAACACTCAGGCAGGCATATGGGCCGGCAAGCGTGCACACACGCAGACTTGGAAACGGGCTCAGACCACTAGGCAGACTGAGCCCCACTCCTCTACGTATACATGAGTTGCTCCTCTTCTAACCGAAGTAGGAGTTAGCTCAGTGGGTTTCGGTGCGGATAGAGGATCAGGTGACTTGGGGATCGACTCCATCTGATCCTGAGCTAGCTTTTTTTTACAAAGAGTTCTATTTTAGTCTTCACCCAACTTTGGTTAACTGGGCTTGAACTCATGACCTCCCGCGGGTAAATAGTTAGTTAGATTCTGTTTTTTGTTTCCTACTAAACGCTTGTCCGATATTTGGCGCAACGAGGCAACTCAGCAGTTAGATTTCATTTTGTTTTTATTTATTTATTTATTTTTTAAAATTTTTGCGTTGTATTTCTTTTTTTAGATGATTTTTATTTTTTTTCCTTAGACTTTGAATCTACCCAAATTTATGGGCACATTCATCGTCAAAGAAGCAGAGGAATTCTGTTCATCGAGGCTCGACGCGAGTCCGGATGAGGTTCACTTGAGGCACAGGCCGAGAGGTGAGATCGCTGGGCAAGTGAATCACGGTCGCGACAAGTTGACCACGCAGAACGGACGACTGCGATCATGTAGATGGGGATGGAGATGTGCGTGAAAATGAAGGTGATCGCAGAAGGGAGATGGAGAATGGGATAGGAAAGGTAGCGAAGGGGATAAACGACAAAGGAAACAAGGTAGAAGTAGAATCCTGCGAAGAAGAAGTTGGAAGAGCGGAAGGAGAGGTGGTAGAACACCCTGAACAGCAAGGAGGGTGGAAGACGAGCGCGCACTAGGAGAAGTGGAGGTAAGAGCGAACGAACTGGAAGAGACCACGCGGAGGAGAGAGGAGAACCGCGCGGAGGAAGAAGAGAATCACGCAGAAGAAGAAGAGAATCGTGGGGAGGAAAAGGAAAGAAGTGCGAGTACGGGAAAGAGGAGAGGTGAGAATGGAAAAAAGATGCGCGGACGGACGAACACAATAAATGAGCAAAGCGAGCTAAGCTTACGAAATTGTATGCAAGAAAAAGAAGAAGAAAAAGAAAAGAAAAAAAAAACAGGA